TCACTTTCTCAAGATAATGGCTTAAAATAAATTTTTTAGTTCCTTTAAAGATTTCTGAAAGGACTAAAACATTCTTTCTCTGTAAATCCATTTCCTCAAGTTGAAAATAGTATGTCAGATCTCAGACATGAAATAATGGGAAGACAAAATATCTCCACGGGTAGGCAACTATTGAAAGTAAAATCATCACCACACTAGGAAATTCTAGTTTGCTTCAATCTGTTTTCAATCAAATATTTGTCAATCACATTTTGCAAAAGAAATTAAAAAAAAAAAAATGTAGTTGCTTTGCTACTTATTAAAGAATTCAATGGTAAAACTCAATTTTTAGGCACAACCTCTACTTTTGAATTGATCCTTGTTACATTTAGTGGAGGCATACAAATAAGAATATTCAATCACAGCCATGTGGTGACCACCCAAGATCAAAGGGTGTCCAGGATCAGCTACAAAACAAAAAAACACTTGAAATCTGGACGCAAACAGTTAAAATTTTCACCCGCAAACTTGTTTGGCAGTCAAACACAACAGCCATTTAGAAACAAACAAAAACAAATTCATCATGAGAGGAAAAAAAAACAAAGAGAAAAAAAATGGCAGACTGTTAACAGGAATAATCTTGTATTCTGTGTAGGTAGAAAGTAATTATATTGTCAAGTATGGTGAATTGTTGCATGGGCATTAAAAGAGAAAATAGGCATGGAATGTGAAAGACTTGTCCAAGGTCCAACTTGTCGCTTGTATACTTCAACCTGAGCTTTCCAATCTTAGCAATATGGCAGGTTCAAAAACTAACTTCCCTCTCAAGTGAGTAATATTGTTAATTTCAGAGGAAATAACTGAGTATTTACAAATACTACAAGAATTGATTCATCAGGCATCAGGTATGAAAGACTGGCCCCAAGTGGAGATGCCTGTTACTAACCCCAGATAAGTTTATTGTTCCAGAACAAGTAACAAAAGAGCTTCTGTTTACATTACCAACAGTGAATTAAATCCAGATTCATAATCCATTTACTGGCCATGTGTAATTCAAGGAATTATATAACAAAAGAGTTATTTTAATAGAAAAAAAAAAAGTAAAACCCTGACTTCTGAGCAGTTTTTCTTAAAACAATAAAACCTAGATTTAAAATATTAAACAAGTTCCTGCCATATAATTTATATAAAAAGTAACATAAAATTGGTATTGAATAATAACAGTGACAACAAAAAATACATGAAGCCTCCAATAGCATGAAAAAATTCTCAAGAAAAGGTTGGGACAAAAAAAAAAAAAAGCAACAACAATTTGAAAATCTACAAAGCAAGAGGCATTCATTTTGTTCCCATAATCAACAAATGTAAAAGAATAAAAATTAGAGAAATGGCATGACTTCCCCACCTCCATTTTCTACCTCTTCATTGTTCCCTATCTCATGGCAATAGCAGTAGGACAATAATGTAGGAATTTGGGGGTTTAACATAAATATTCAATAAAATGACAAATAGTACTGGAGGCACAGGTACAAAAATGCCTAGAGTGACAAAAATTTAGAGATTTTTTTTTCACTTCCTAATTTTTGGTACAAGAAAGTTTAAAAAGTTAACAAATTGTCATGTATACATAACTAAGTTTTGCATAAGTGCAAACCAAACATTGATAAGTTATATCATTCATTTTGAATAATTGTAAGATGACTAGACTGTGTCCTGATATGGAGGAGTGGAAACAGATGACAAGATTAAAATCAAAGTTATGTTAACATGTCCAGTAAAGTCTTTACTGCCATTTAAGTTTACTGCACCACACACAGTTATGTAACTTATGGACAAACCTCAATACATTTCAGGTTAAATATTTTCCAAATATCTTGTGAACTACTTTTATGGTTTCAATCTTAGCCAATCAAGTCACCAACAAAGCTGGCTAAACAACAAACACTTATCAGGAGTTAATAATAAAAATATTAATTTAAAAGGAAAACTTTCTTTTTAGCATTTACATATCACTCCCTTTTCATTGTATGATTCAGGCAACCTGTTTTTAACTGAATGGCCAATGTTTTTTTTTTTTTTTTTAAACTAAAACTATGTTAGCAAGCAATATTTTTTGGGACATTAAACATTTTGCAGATTTTACCATCTTCATGAGACAGTGGCAATGTTATTTAAGCAGATGGTTTCAAGTATCACAGTTTTTACAAGTACATAAATGTAAATGACAAAAGATTTAACATGGATATGGTTATTTGGACATGAAAAAAAAAAGGAATATTTTTAAGTATCAAAGCTCTATTTAAGACAAATTTGAATCCCTTTGTGCAAAGAAAGGTGACAAAAGATCAACCAACCAAAAGATTGTGTTGTTTATCAGAGCAAGTGGGGTAGGGAAAGGCAATGACAAAATGGCAGTGTAAATTTAGGACATTATATATGAGGTTTGTCCAGAAAGGATCCAGTCATTTAATGGGGAAAAAAAAGAAAAGAAATTATAGCCTATCTAGGGCATTAGTACCTTAGTTCCCTCCAAAGTAGTCCTGTTAGGATTTCATACATTTATTTCAGCATCCACCTTACAAATCAATTTTCAAAGTCCTCTTTTGGGATCAACATCAACTGCCTTTTTCCCTTCTTAATCTTGTCTGAAATCTCCCTTTCAATTGCAATTTTAGTTTTGGGGATGGAAAAAAAAAACACAAAAAAACAACAAAGTGCAAGGAGCTAAATCTGAACTGAGATGGTAGGGTTCAGACAGACGTGGGTGATACAATTTTTTTGCCAAAAAACTCTGCAAGAGACATGAAAAATCTACTCACTCAATCATTGTGAATTCAAATCGCACAGTACATAAACTCACTCAATACTCTTCACTGATGACTGAGTGAGACCATAAGAGTGTGTCAATTTACAAATCTGCAGTCAATTTCCCTTTCATTGGGTGATTGCATACATCTTGGCTGTATAACTGATTCTCTCAAGATATAGATTCAGACTGTTCTCAAATGTGTGAGTATATATATATATATATATATATATATATATATATATATATATATATATATATATATATATAGATATATATATAGATAGATAGATAGATAAATGGAGACACAGAATGGCATAATTGCTTCTAGCACAGAATTACCAAACAGAATTTGAATCCCAACTGAGATTGCATGAATCCACTTCTTCCTGCATGATCACCAGATTATGGCAAAATATTTTATCACTGGCATGCCACAATGGTTGATAGAAAAGAGTATGTGATTACTTGGGCAACCCACACTCCCACAATTGTCCAGCCTGCCCAAGCAGTAGCAACAAATAGCTGTTCCCCACCCAACCCACCATAGTTAACAGAAGGGCCATAAATATGAAATGTATATACAAATTCCACTTATTAATTATGATATTTAATTATTATTTATACACAAGCAACCTCTTTCATTAAGGTATGAGCCTCTGTATCAGTTCTTGACAAACAATTTGAAAGAAAAAAATGTAATAAAATTTTGTGAGTGAAATTGCTATTTTTTTTTTAGGTTTACTTGAAACTTAACCTCACAATGTTTTAACCTGCCTCTAACTGAAAAAAAAAATAATAATCAAAATCAAAGATTGATCATTTTGTGATTTTTAAAGAAAATGGCTGCACAGATACATTCTCTAGCAAAGCCTTTCTTTACAGGTATCAATGCCCTCACCAACATCAGACAAGGAAGTGATTAAGATCATTAAAATATAATAACATTGTTACTAAAAGTAATATTTTGATGATAGAGCATTAATCTGTATGGCACAAAGTTGATGCTTCAATCATTAGCACCAAGAGTAAGAAAAGCTTTGTCCAGAAGAAAAAAAAAAGAAAGACTAATTGAAGTCAACACATCTTTGGTAAAGAACAGTCAAAAGTAATCTGTGGAGAAACATGCTAGAAAAGTGTGATGGAGGTTGATAGGTTGGAGGTTGACATAATTTGATAAATCAAAAGTGCCCAAACCATTTACTTGAAAAATTTGTTCATTTGAGTGCTTATAAAATCAAAAATATCAGTCACAACTAAAAGAGGAAAAAATAGTAACTGTGCAAGACTAACCTGAAATTAGTGTGTGTGTGTGTGTGTGTGTGTGTGTTAGTAGAGTTGTGCCAGATTAAATTAGATATCTACAAATGCCATTGTTAGACCCATATATTAATGATATGAAAATAAAATGTGATAGACATCTGATTTTTGAAGTTTGTAGAAAATGGAAAGCCTTAAATTAATTTTCTAGTGAAAAGGTAAAAATGAAAAAAAAAAAAACCCTTAAAACTACTACTTTTTACTCAAATCAGACACAAAATGACTTTTTTGAGAATTAATCACCAGAATACATACATGAATTTTACTTTTGTTTTCAAAATAGATGAAATAGGATGAACTAAAATCAAGTTGCCAATTTTCCTTTCACACAAGATTGCTATTTATACAATCCTCTTCTTAATGCTGCAGCACACATAACACTTGGTTTTTGCTCTCAAACAGTTCACTACATGTAAAAAAAGAAAAAACAAAAAAGATTTCTCTTAATTTAAAAACAATCAATATTAAAAAGCTTTAAATAACAGTAGCTCATATCATGCTTCCTATTCCATCTGTCTACTTTCCTTACCCAAGAGGCTTGAATTATTAACAGGCTTTGGGGGCAGGGGGAGGATAATTTAACTGGTTTCCAATTTTATTTTTTGTTTCTTTTGGATAACTTGTTACTTTTAAATGTATTGCTTTAAAGTCTCTCTCTCATATATATATATATATATATATATATATATATATATATATATATATATATATATACACACACACACACACACACACACACACACACACACGCATACATACATACAAAAGATACCCCAATCCCACCCCAAATCCAGTAAGAATTTCTCTCATTGATTTTTTTTTTTCAGTATCTTACTTGAAAGAAAATAGAAATGGAAAAAACTGACAAAGAAAATATCACAGCAGATTAAAGACATCATTTGGACACTCTCCTGCCTCTGTGGTTATTAGGCTTGAAATGAACTTTTAAGTGATGCTTTAGTCCATTCTTGTCTGGGTAACCTTTGCCACAAGTTTCACAGACATATGGTCGCTCACCCTTGTGGCAACGCACATGCCTTGTGAGATTGCTACTATCTGTGAAGGTCTTGCCACAGATTTCACATTGGAAGGGACGGACCCCATTGTGTATACGGAGATGCCGAGCAAGCACACTACTCCATGAGAACTTCTTTCCACAGAGTTCACAAGAAAATGGTCGCTCTCCACTATGCATTCGTTCGTGACGCACTAAATCGCTGCTCCAAGAATATCGTTTGCCACAATAGCGGCATTTGAATGATCGGTCATCATTATGGATACGCAAGTGCTTTTTAAGGATGCTATGATTGTGGAAGACCTTATCACAAATTTCACATTTAAACGTCTGTGGGCTGCAATGTGTCTTCAAGTGTTTGGCCATGTTACCCTTGTTGGTGAACTTGCGACCACACTGGCCACAATAGTAAGGCTCAGGAGAGAAGTGGAGAGCTACATGAGCACTGAGGTTCTCCTCTTTGCTGAATGTCTTGCCACATCGCTCACATCGAAATGGACGCTCCTCACTGTGGGTGGTTCGGTGGAGATCTAACTCATCAGTGCTGTCAAATGTCATAGCGCAGCTCTCACACTGGTAAGTGCGACGTCCTGTATGGACTGTTTCATGCTCAGTCAGGTCACTAGTTTGCAGGAAGCCCCGGCCACAGTAGCCACATTTGTATGGGCGAATACCAGTGTGCACTCTGACATGGCGCTGTAAGTTTCCATTCTCCAAGAACGCCTTGTCACAGTACTCACACTTGAATGGCTTCGTCCCTAAATGAATCAATGTATGCCTCTTCAGATTGCCTTTCTGAGAGAATGTCTTTTCACAGAGATCACACTGGTAAGGTTTTTGGCCAGTATGTACACGGGAATGTCTGGCAAGGTGGCGTGATTGAGCAAATAGTTTGCCACAGACTTCACATTTGTAAGAACGTTCCTCAGATATAGAGTGCATCTTTAAATGTTTTCCCAGGTCACAACTGTGCAGAAAAGACGCAGAGCAGAAGTCACATTTGTAGGCACCACCAAAACTTTCAGAGCCAGAGATGTTAAGTGTGACTGTTTCTTCTTCTTCTTCCTCCTCCTCCTCATTTTCTATCAAATTTTCATCCTCATTTTCTACAATCACTTCCTTCTTTTTTTCACATTTTATTTTTATGATGGGATTAGACACTTTTCTTTTTCTTTTGTTCATTTTACTTTTCACACCATTCCCTCCAGGCAAAGTATCATCAACTGATACTGGGACTTGTGGCTTGGACAATTTAGCCACTTTCCTCTCTGTCTTAATGTTTTTATTAAGAGAAAAGTCAATTGCTTCAGTCACTATTTCATCTTTGGTTTTGGTTAGGTTAATGCCACTGGAGTCAAAGCACCGGACAGAATTCTCATTCTTCCCTGGTATATATTCCTGTTTTACAATGACATCGACTTCTTGCTTAATTTTTCCATCATGCTGCTGGAATGACCAGTCATTGTCTTCCGATTGGTCAGTTTGGTCTTTGTCCAATGTGGCAAATTTCTTTTGAGCAATCTTGTTGACAATACTGTCAATGTTCTTCTTTTTAACAATGTATTTCTGTTCACATTTACGGCCCATCATTTTGTACATTTTGTAAGTGAAAGAAGAAGAAGAAAAAGAAAAAATAAATAAAAGAAAAAGCAAAAAAAATAAAAAAAAGAAACAAACAAATAGCAAAAGAAATATTAAGAACGTTAAAAAAAAAAAAAAAATAAAATAAAATGAATTACTTGTCTGGAATGTAATTAACTTAAAACACCCGACCCCTAGTAATTAATGATGGGCTCAGGTGAGAATTGTTATTATAAATGATGCATATAAGAAGTCAGCTGAGAGGCTATGTTTACAGAAACTGGCCACATATTTGGTAATAAGTCCAAATGTGTTTTGGTCAGCATGATGTCAGCATTTCAGAGAGAATGACCTGGAAGTAAAATATAAACAGAAATTAGAAAAGTGAAAAGAGAATAGACTTTGCAAATCAATCTCCATTTTTAACAAAAATCATCACAATTTCTCAAGGACAAATTAAGGGAAGATAATATTATTAGAATAAAAACAAATATTTCCACACTATGTTAAATCTGTTTATGCAAGTAAATGTTTACAAAAGAAAATCCATATATAAAATTGATAAAACTGTATGGTACCAAGATGAAGAAAAAAAAAAAAAAAAAAAAAAACTTGCCCACTTGATGTTAGCATTTTTGTTTTTTTTTAAATCATTTCACCCAAGCAAAGCAATAATGCCATGAGGCCACAAGGGGTTACCGGGAGTGAAACAGAATGAAAAGACTAGTGAGAAGAAAGGACAATAAAAGAACAAGATTAAAGAAGATTGCAATTGATGTTGCATTTAAATTTTTGAAGGTGGCAGGAAAACAAGAAACCAGAAGTTCCACAAGCAGTGAAAAGAAACTATTAGAATAGAACTTATAGTTTCATTTCCATATGTAGCAAGCTAACGCATGCAAATCAACCATGTTACTCATGTCCACCAATATGGCACCCAGCAAAAACAACAAGCAATATACAACCAATTCTTTTTCCAATACACTCCCCACTGGTGGTCTCTTGCTCACAGTAGCAGCAATCATGGAGTGTCTATTTTTGCCAAGTGCTTCATCTCCAGTTGAGTCAACCATTTCCAGTATTTTAGCTCACTAATTTTTATTGCAATCTCCTACTCTCTCTTAAACTCTTTCAGATAATGCACTGTTATCTTCACCTGTTGATATATTTGACCCTAAGAAAAGACAGATCTTTTATATGTGTGTGTCACTGCATTAACCTGGAGTGAATGTTAGCTGACAATCCTGGTCATTCCTCTCTTCCCAAACTTTATCATGCACCAGTTTTGTGGGGCTTTTAATTAGACAAGGTCCCTCAATTCGTAGGTCACATTCTGTCTTCAGTTCAAGTGCTGGGTTATCAATCTCCTTCAGCCAACTTTGTATGAGTGGATGCTGTTTGCAGATGTGATTGGGTTTAAGGTTTTGCCTTTTGGGGTAATGTAACAATATATGGGTTCCTAAATGAAGCGCTGCATTCTGTCTACAAGGCTTTTTCAAGATCATTCAGCTATTTCATTTCCCGTAGAAAAGTGTGCACATCAGAAATACAAGTAACACTGCATAAAAGTCCTTGCTGCAAATATGTAGTGTCATTATCTATGAGAAGCTAATAGAACAAAGGCTTCTGTTGGCACATAATGTGCAATGATTTTGGCAAGTCAGCAGTCACTACACAGAAAAGTGAAATGGACTACTATTAGTAAGCTTTAAGTAATAGTCATAGCCATAGTGAGTTATTTCCATTACCGATATTGGCCAGGTATCATCCACAGCTAACCTTCTTCCAGTGAACTGATGCCAGGCCTATTGTTTGGTTATATTTGCATATTTTTATTGCCATCTTGCCTTAGTGCTGGAAAGGCAAACTCTCTTGCGGTAAGTTTTCACTCATGCATATTTTCAGGTTATCTGAAATCTAACAGTATATACATAAGTTGATCTGCAAATGTAACATTTTGGCCTGTCATTGGAGGACCAGAGCAATGCGTTTTGGTGTTACACTCAACTAAGTTGATGTGTCAGATGTCATTCATGGATTGCAACTAGCACCCATCTTCTCCCACTCATTTCCAACAGAACTTCTACCACCAAGAACCTTGCACTGACCCATATATTTATTTTTTGCCTGTTCATACATCCATTTACTAAAATAAGGCCATCTTTCATTCTTGCCACAATCTCTACTATCATTTGTTTGAGGTGGAGGAGTAGCAATCTTCTCACTAATCCAGTCTTTTGCAATTGCATTAACTATCTGCTTCATTATACTGGTTGCTACACAAAGTCATCTACACTGAGAGATGTCTTAAGTTTTATACATATAGAAAAAATGTTCTGTCATGTAATGATGATTACACATCCAAAACCATACTTCCCAATTTCCATATTGATGCCTCCCAGAGACATCCAAGCACAACACACAGGCACCATCCTTCACCCATTATAGATCTTTAATTGCCAAACTAGATCAAACCAACTAACACATTGATCTAAATATCTATGAATGCTGATGCTGCTTTCTTAACTGCTTCTTCCTGAGATAGTACAGTAGATTGACTTCACAATTTGCCATGCTACATTCAATTTAAAGCCAAGTCTTGTTAGGCAGTACATTTTCTTGCAGAGCATCACTGTCAAGTATAGGCATAATGATTCATGGACTCACATTTAAAGAGCGGCTGCCCTGAGATCCAGCAAGGATTCTCATCAACTTCACTCTGAGCTTGCTTATATGTTGACTGTATATACCATCACTGGGCAAACATTTGTCTTGTTCTACTGTACCCAAACCATGGTGTATGGGGCAAATTTTTGTTCAGGTTATAGGATCAACCAGCTATTCTCAATCTAAATTGAGCTCCTACTCATACACATCACTGGTTTGTGCAGACACTGAACACTTCAACATGATGATTAACACCTTATCCTCTGTCCATCTCCATGACAGTTCACTTGCTTCGGCACTAATTGAATTTTGTGCAGAAGTTGGTTTAAGTACAGAGTGTATTCACTCATTTGACATTCAAAATCTGCCACATTCAACATTTATTGTAGTCACTCTGGTATTGTTCTTTGTCCATGACTGGCACAGCCTCACACTTATTATAGAGTGAGAGTTGCACAAATCAAAGAGTGTCAAATGCCATGTCTTGTTTATGTGAATTTTGATGATAAGTAGCACCACATTTACAACTTGGCTGAAGGAAGAAACCAGTGCTAACAACTTGACCTTTGCTTCTTTCCCTCCACCCAAACAATTTCAAAATATACGGCCAGCTTTTGAAACACTGCATTTGTAGACAAAGTTTTCACATGGATCTATGGTAGTGATGAGAGGGCATCTTTGTATTATCTTGATTGTGCAACTTCTATGACTAGTCCTTTTGCTGCAGTCCTTGTCCTTCAAGATTGTTCAGGTGAATGGTTAATGTATCAATACTGGAAAAATTTCTGCAGTTTTCAAAGGTAAATCTGCATCATTTTGCCAAAAATGAATCCATTGCAAAGCAATATATAAAGCATTACTTAACCAAAATCTCTCTTCCTTGCTCAGCTGCTGGTATATAGCAAATACACCCCTTATCATTAGACACAAAGGAGGAACTTATTTAATCCATTTCTACCTCTGTCCAGGATGCAAACCAACTCTGTTTTTTGAACTCATTTAACAATCAAACTCAGGTCAAATCTGCTGTCCATCACTTGTAGCTAAATGTTTACACAAGAAAATTAGCATTAACCAAGAGATATTGGTAAAAATTTCACAATATACATACTTTATGAATTTTACCTTACAGTTGTTTTTATTAGAAATATTTACAATAATTTATTAGCTGGTGTGATATTTTATTATGTGATTATGTTTTATGATCAGTAACTGCCAATCCTCACTCTTTCATGTTGCCAACTGACATAAGTGTATGGTAATGGTAATATTAGACAATTCCATACAGGGAAACATTTGGCATCCGAGCAACTAGTACAGTTGAAACTTAGAAAAATCTTTCACTGAAAACGATTTTTCAGGAAAATAGGTTTCTCAAATTTGGTAGCGTTATCTCTCTGAGATGGGGTTTTCCTTCCAAACTTTTTATTTGTAGTAGTGTATATAACGTTTTGATTATATCATTATTTTCTCTTCAAGTTACATGTGCTATACATTTTAATTGTTGCTGCTGTTGACAGTCCTTAAATGACAAGGCTATTTAAGGACATTACTCATGTTTTCAGATTAATGTTTTGGTTTGGTAACAATTTGCATTGTTGGGTGAAACAGCCTATTCTATGTTCAATTTCCTTTACTCACATACTAAATTTGTTAGAACTCATCCATGCGCCAAGGTATTTGAAGTGTTTAATATTTACTAATTCCCCATCTTGAATTTTCATGATGAATTGAGAGTATGTGCCATCACTGTTTTCATTGTAATTTTAAATTCTGTTCATCTCGAGTCCTATTTATTGGAACATTTGGTAGAGAATGTTGATTTTCTGTCCAATATCATTCTTATCTTGTGTTTGTAAATGCATGGGGCATAGTCTAAGAAAAGATTAAATAGACTCCTGATGAAGTTTGAAATGTTTTTATATTGGGGTCCTTACAAGATATGTAATATTTTGTAGACTGATACAGTTCCTTTATTAGATTGATGTATTCAGAGCTTGGAAGGCAGTTTCTAATGGATGAAAAGAGTAACTCTATTGTCATATGCTGCTGTGAAATCAACATAGCAGGTATACAATTTCCTATTATAGAGGTAAGCAATTTCCTGGAGTTGTTTGATGACATACATGTCATCATTGCATCCTTTACCAAAATGAAAAACAAGCCGACTTTCATAAAATGATGAGAGGCTAGTCAATATGTTTATTAATACTGTCACCATGATGGATCCAAATGACATACCTGTGTATGTAGCTTCCCTGTGCTTTTTCTAGAAATACTTTCATGACAATTGTTCTGATGAACTTTCCTCTAAGGTATCTAGATTTTATGAATTTAAGCGCAGTACTAGATTGGTGGCAAAGTTTCATCAATTCACAGCTGAAATAGCTATAGATGCAGCCATAAATTCTATACTAACAGTTTACTCTATTGCACGTCTCATTTGTGGAACTTTCTTTCATCCTCTTGCTTCCCAGTCAAGTTTGATCTTCAAAAATTTAAATGCAATGTCATCTTCTGTCTCATTAATTCCCGTTTTGTTATTGTTCTCTCTCCTTATTAGTGTTTTTTTTCTCTCATACTCAGTAACCTATTGTGTCTTAGTGACTTTATTGCCTTGCTTGAGGTGAAATGATTAAAAAAATGCAAGGGTCTTGAGGACTACCATTTTGCTCCTATAGTGCAATATAGTGCATGATAAAACCCACTTTTTGGGGGTGAATTTCTACTCTAGAGTTCCTTCATAAAATACAGAAACTTGGAGAAAGTAAGTTATTTTCAAAAGGTCAATCTCAATGTCAAGTGATGTTTTACTATTCTTTAGTTTTTTAATAGCTTAATTTCCTCATCAGTAGGTTCGTTATTGCTTATGGATGGAGATGGATTGTAATGTTTGGATGTATATTGGCATATGTTCTATTTTTGCAGGCATCTTGAGTTTAGCATGGTCAGATTTGAAATGTGACTCAAATTATTTCCCCCTCTTCTGTATGGCTTTTATTAAGTGAAGTGGTTTGCATATGCAACAGGCTACCACATACAAATTAGCCATGCCACTTCCAAACAATCAAAAAAGAAACTGAAGACAATGGCAAGATAAGAAAACAGACTTTTAAAATGTCACAAAATTCATTTGAGAAAAATTAAGAGTAATCAAATAGAAATCTTGTGGTCCCTCATAAAAGTGTAAATCAAAAAGCCCATATTATCATATAAAATAATAATTTACACATGTATGTATGAGGATTTAATGAGTTTATGTCATCATTATTAAAAATCTAGTTTGGAATAAAGTGAAAAATAAGCCAGCCAGCTATTAAAATAATTCATTGCGAATGTAGATTTGGAATTACATTAATTTTCATATGACAAAATTATAAAGGCAAAAAGTCATATCTTTAAGGAAAGTGAAGAAATATTTAAATATACCAAAGTATCACATCAAAAATGTTAAGGAACAAGTATTTCTATACAAAGAGGTCATCCTAAACTCTTTAAAAAGAGAATAAGTTGAATTTAATGAAAATTCAATTATTGAATTTTTTTACTTCCTGCCCAAAATCTGGAATGCTATTTGATAATCCCTAAGTTTTTCAAGGATAATTTTAAAACTGCCAACTGCAACTCATTCCTACCCATATTCAAAGTAGTACAGTATTTAGATACATTTTATGGCAGAAGTGAGAGATAGAGGAAAAAAAATGTGCTTTACACCAAAGCTAATGAAAAATAAAAAGCACAATTCCTTTTTTTCGTGGCAGAGATTGCAAGTTGTAGAGATCTAAAAGACAACTGTTGTTAGATCTTTTTCCAGACTAAATTTTAAATGTTATTAAAATTACTATAAAGTTTTCCTTTCTTCTTATTGCTATCACAGCACTCCCAATCCAACTGGGATGTGAATTCTTGTAGGAAGCTACTCCTTTATTTATGATTTCACTGCTCTAGTCATTGAAGGCTATCACAACCAAAAGTGTTGCAATGGAAAACAATAAGATGTAAAAACTAGTAACAAAATAAATGAAAATGCTTCATCTAAATAAGTTTTTTTTTTATCATTTGTGTTGCAAATACAGTCTCCAATATGTAAATATTTTCTTATTCAGAACATTCATTATATGAAAAATTCTTGACAAAAATAATTTTGATTAGTGAAAATTTTAAGCACACAAATAATAAATATAGTTTAGAATAGAGTAGACCATCAACACTCGCATTTGAAATTAGATTTGCTTACCTTTCTTGACTTTTAATCTCATTTCTTGTAGCATATATAACTGTTTTTATAACTCACTGCAAGAAATGCAAAAAGAAATTAAGCGAATAAAGATTTTTTTTTTTTTTTTTTACATGAAATTACAAGTATTGGAAAAAAAAAAAAAAAAAAAAAAAGAAAAGAAATATAATCATACAACTTGCATTAAAACTATTTTTAAGCCAACATCAGGATTTTTTTTACTTTCCTTTTATCTTTATCTACTAAGCTGGATATTATTTAGGACTATTCTATTTTAGTGTGAAAAAATTAGATCAAGTCAACTAGTGCTAATTTTAATATTTGCACCAGATCACCTGAATATTGTGTCCAAGCATGAAATGGACTTTGACCACTCAGTGTTGACCTCAGTGCTCACTTTCATATTTTTTATAAATTTACATACACTCTATCCTTGATATTGAGCAATTTTACCAATCATTATATATATATATAAAAAATTCATGTTTCGCTAAATAATTTAGACAAGTTTTATCTATTTAAGTAAATTCCTTTCATATTGGCTTGAATAAGCTTTTTAGCATTATCACTGAAACACGAAAGAAAATCACCATGTTGATACATGTTTTTATTGTTAATCCTGTCTAAGCTTTCAGCTTACATAAGCCATCATCAGAGATTATGAGTACATTACAATAAATTAAATAATCAATTAAATAAAGATGGTAATTTTTGTTTTAGATTGGTTATACAGACATTGCAACAATGATAGATTGTTTTGTTTGCATGGAAGATTGCTATGCAATGATAAATTTGTGCATATGAAACACAGGAAGCAAATATTGCATTGCGCTTCATGATGTCATACACAACCACATGAAAGTGAAAATGAAGAAAAATGTTAAGTATGGAAAGCTGTTGGTATAAACCAATAGCTCCTGTTATCAACTATAAGCATTTAAGTATATTTGAGAAGTCTTCATAGTTTATTTTGTTCAGGTTAGGTTTCAACAGTTTTATGTAAATAGCTTCAAGAATAGTTTAGTTTTTGTTTATTGTTTTCATGTTTAAGTATAGTTGAATTTTCAACAAGGATTTTCCAGAATTGTGTATGTGGCCAGGCATGTTGTTTTAAATGTCTAAAAATGTTAGAATTGTCATTCAAATGGAGAGTTAAGCGTTGTGAAAGTGAGTTTGTGGTGTGACCAACAAATATTTAATCCATTGGAGATACAATCTCCCAGAGGGCATTTGAATTTGTAAACGATAGATAGATAGATAGATAGATAGATAGATAGATAGATAGATAGATAGATATTTTTTTTTCATATAACAAAGAAAGAGAGGAAGGGTAAAAAAAAAAAATATTTCTTTCAACTTGCAAGATAGAAGTTTTTGCTTCTAAATTCCAAAGTAAAATTATTGTATGATGACAAACAAGATCAGTTATAGAAAGAAAACAAAGTACGAAATATTTTGCAGAGAAAAGGGCATAAAATTTTCATGTCACCTTCTCAACCCAGAAAAAGAGAACCACATTGTATTTTAGTTTTCTAACTTCTTTAAATAAACTACCAGGAATCATTTTTTTTATAATGAGTAGAACATATTGTTTCAAGTGTAAGAAAACGTAAATGTATTAAGATGAACTGAACAAATATTGAGAAAAGAAAAATGAAGAATTGTGTGAACAAGAAAAAACCCCCAACAAACATGCAATAAAATTAATTCACATTTCCACAATTAGATATTTAATTATCAATCTACTATAGTATTATATATACAGAAATCTTTCTAAATACCAGATGCTTACTGGTTCAAAGTTCAATCACAGACGAAGCAAAAAAAAAAAAACTTCAAATAAACATAAAATACACTGGGAACAGTAAATGAGGCAAAAGACTACAGATTCAAAAGTTTTTTTTTTGATGGTCTGAAAAAAATTCTTTTATCTTTGGCTGATTTTTTTTGTTTGATAGCATATGGGTCATTTAATGCCAAAATTTAATTTTCTTGGGAGCTTTGAATAATAAAAATATGATATACATTATTCAGCTTTCACAATTGAATACATGATAGATGATATTCAGCTTTTGTATATATATATATATATATATATATATATATATATATATGTTTTTTTATATTGTAGCTTTTTTTAAAAAATATTTTGGAGTCAATTTTGATTTTTTTTTCAGGAAAGTGTTGGATATTATATGAATTAATGTTGTGAAAGAGTTCTTTCATGCTGGTCAGTTGGATAATTTTGTTTAGCAGCATATCAATCTCTATGGGTTATATAATGCTGAAATCTATTTTGAACACAATTTTCCAGCCATTGAACAGATTTTTTTTTTATCTCCCATGTCACCTCTAAATTAGCAACTAATTTCAAACAACTTTGTAAATCTCTAACTTTACCATTATTCAATAAATAAGAAAGAGACACACAGGAAAAAGAATGTACAGTGTTTTTTTAAACAGATTCCAAATCAGAAAATATCCCTTCTGAATATTACCAATTAACTTTGCCACCTCAATCAGAGAATCAGTATGTCAATACTCTTTGCAATTCTTTTTTTCATTCATATGCAATTAGTAGCTAATTGCCTTGGTTTTAGAATAATCTTTGTTCTTTTTTTATCCACAAAGTTAGACAGAATTTTCTTTAAAGTTCTTAAAAACATCTTAAATGTTCAAAACCAAAAAGAAGTTCTTGATAAATTTAAAATTGTAGACAATAATTTAATTAAACAAAACCAAATGCATTTTCATTATGAATTATAAAAAGGAAAACAGAGTTTATTTTACTTGGAAGAAATTTTCCTTTGACATCCATGAAAACTTTGTATGAGTCACATGTAAGTCAATGTTCAGCTTAAATTTAGACAAAAAACTTATTCTAAAACTCTACTATTTCAGAGTTGATCTTTCCACATCCTGGCTTTGTAAACATCTTCGAACTGCCTGCCATTGTCATAATAATGACACTGCCCCTTAAAAATGGCAATACGAAGGAAATAACTTGTAAAAGAATGAAATTTAAAAAAAAAAAAAAAGTCTATTTGCCAAATGGTTGCTAATGCTGGGTTGAGGAAAGAGAAAGAAAAAAAAATATCAAAATTGAGAAAACTTGAGATAATTTTGCATAAGCTCAACTAATCCTCACAGGAGAGGTAACAATTGGTAAATCAAGTTGTCATTAAAGAATGGTGAGATATTTAAAATATTTTAATTAGCAAACAGACTGAAATGCTCCTGGTAAATGGTTGGATGGGAAATTGAACTATAAATAAATAAAAGCAAGAGACTATTCTAAAACCAAGTCTGGAAACATTTAATGCTGCATCAGTATTATAAAAATAAAAAGGAAAGCCAATTTTAATTGCTTGATTTACAGAATTATAGTTTTAAAAATATATTTAAACTATGTTTTGCAAATAGATCAGATGATAACCATAAATTTAGTCGGGAAATTATCAAAATATATTTAAAAAAATATCTTGGTGAGTGGTGACGGGGGGGGGATAATAGAGAAGAAATTGTTTATCTTTCCACTCCAATTGTTACACTAACAATTCTTTACTAATAAAAATTACCCTTACAACTAATAAATAACTACATTACAAGACGAAATTTATTTTTGAAAAACCAAATCATCTTAGTTTTACTTTTGTTTGTGACAAAAAAATAAAGACGTCTACGGACACTTGTTATCACTTTGAATATTATTTAATAAACTTTACCGTCCTACTCCTATCAGTTGAGAGAAGGCGTAGTTTCCAGTGAAGCATTTTTTTTTTTTTATCTTTCCGAACAAATTAACTCTTAAAGATTCGGTGGGAGAAATCATGGTTCTTATTTTCTTGAGTAAATACTAAATAGAGTATCGTTTCAAGTTTCTTAGAGCGATATGTCTTATAGATCAGTGTGTAGTATCTGTGAGCACTTCGAAGTTTTACTAATGTAAGTTACACATTATATTTTGAGTTGAATATGTGAATTACTTTATTACTTGTTGGGTGATTTTTTTTCCTTTCTTTGTCGAATGTCATTTTAACTTCCGTATTATTGTTTTCTTTTAAACTTATCAGGGGGACACAACCCCAGATAAAACGATATCAATTGTTGCCGATGTTGTTCTACATGTACAGCAACAGCAACAACATTAGTCACCTCTCCTAGCCACATCAACATTTGATTGATTTTACTACCTAAAAACTGATCAGGTGAAAACAAAAAACAAACATTGTTCCTTCAGACATCTTTCGTCCCAACAAAATCTAAATAACGACATCACTTAGATTTTTTGGAAGGGTAGGGGAATGGGGAATAAAGCAGAAAAAAAGACTGTTTTTTTTTTTAGCATTCAAATCAAATTTATTTGCTGCTGCTAACAAAAGTTTTTTTTCTTTAACTTCTTCACCTTTAAGAATCACCTTGGCATTAGACCGGATTCAAAGCAGGCTTTATACTCAGATGACAGACAGTGTCTAATAAAAAATATTAGATTTTTTTTTTTTTTTTTAAATACAAAAAAGTGTCACACCCCCACCCCAATTAAATCTGACCGACATATATACTGTACACTACAGTACACATATATACAAAGAACGCCTAAAATGTTGAACACTAATTTGATTCAACCCAAGTAAATTTATATGTAAAAATCCTACTACAAAGTTAATTTACTAATAAATAAACGTACAGCAAACGCTAAAGATGAGTGGACAGCTTAAAAGAAAAAAAAAAAAAAGTTGTTTAAAAACACAGCATCTAATTGAATTCAATAAAGCATTAATAGGTTTTAAAATTCTTCTAAATGCCGTATAAGAAAAATATACACGAATATAAATAATTTGACCTTAATTTCAAGAACAAACATGGAAAATATTAAATAAATAAATAAAAATTTCCCCCCCTCAATAGAACTTGTGGAGCGTTCGGCCATTTTGAATATAAAAGAAAGTATGGAGTACGTCAAAGACAATAAAATCAACGAAAATAAAATATTTCGTTAGGTTCCGTGTAAAGAAAATCAAAAAGTTATGGATTATTGTAATCAGTTCAACCTCATACTTTTTTTTTGCAAATAACTGACAAAAGCTAATAAATAATGGGGGTACGCAGTTATCAACAAAGTTTTTGATGAAGAAAAAAAAGTTTATTTTTTGAACGGAAGTAAATTAATAAAAAAATAACTAATTATTTTACATCTACTTTTGCAGTTTGTGACTTAAATATTAAACAAAGTATCCCAACAATTACTATTTGAAACTTTTTTTTTTTTTTTTAATAGGAATCAAGCTCAAAATTTGACTAAAATACTAAAGTGTTTATAAAATTAAATATTTTTTTAGAAACTGAAATAAAGAGGTGGGATAATGTGTCGATGTAAAAATACAATAAGTAAAAATTAAAAGAGTACAAAAAGGTTCTTATAAAAAATAAGTTAGGATCGAGAAACACAGATGTTTAAAATAAAATTCACAACTTTACGGTGTGAATAAAAGTAAAATACACAAAGAAAAGTTGAAATGTTTCAACTTAAAAATAAAAGCGGTTCTTTCGGAAATCGGACATTTACACTTGAAGGAAGGAACTGCCAATATGGTTCAATGGGTGTTAATTGGAAAATGTATCGTTTGGAACAAAAAAAATATAAATTCAACAAGTGAGTATTTGGAAAGGTGGAAATAATTTACAATTTTTTTTTTTTTTCAACTGTAGTGGGAAAAACAGTAGACAATGAGAAAAATAAAAATAAGAGGAAAGAAAACAACGACTGGACGACAGTGGTAAAAAAGAAGGAAGGAAGTTCAACAAGTCACATATACAACCTTTTCGGGTGGGGGGCGAGGTAAACACATTCAACCCAATAGCAAAAGTTTTCAGGGGAAGGGCAGCTCCTTTGGGTCTTTAAATAAAAGACGGGGAACAAACATTAAAAAAAATCCAACAATCAGATCAACAAAGTTACAATTCCATAAAAATAAATAAGAGGAAGATAAAAAAGAAAAAAAAACCCATTGTAAGTAAATAAGAAAGTAAAAATAAGAAACAAAAAAAAATTCTCACATTCAAATATACTTTTTTAATGTCGTGATGGCAACAATGAATTAGGTTAACTGGAGATGACGGACAAAACAACGGAAATTTATAAACGAAATAAATTGATAATATTAATTTGACTATTATTACTAATAATATTCCTCCACAGAGGACGAAAGAAAGAATTATTAGAATAAGCCAAAGACTCATTTAAATTTATCCACATTCCAAATCCATCAAAAAGATAAAAAAAAGTAAATCGATGATGAAATAAAGGAAAAAAATACTTATTTGCGAACTATAATTATTAATTAGTGTGTTTGATGATGGATTTATTTTCATTTCCAATCCATTTATTTTAATAGGTAGACGAAAAATGATTTTTAGCTTTATTCCTCTCGATCTACAAGTACGACTCAAAAAAAAATACAAGAAAAGCAGGGTCAACGAACCTGGACGATTTAAGTGGGGGGGAAAAAGATGGAAAGATATCTAAATGAATGATGTTCTGAGAGTTAAATAAAGTGAATCAATCCCTGGAAAGGCTTGGAGAAGTAGAAACAGTTAAAAAGGCACCGATGTCACTATCATCATGGTAATCATTTTTGCTATACAGTACACCAACAAATCGACCGTTTCAGTCCGAGTTCGTCCTATTAAACTAAGGAGTCAAAAGATAATCTTCCTTTTGACTGGCTTTTTATTTATTGTACACACTGACTTATTAATATCTCCACTTACTAACATAGCATTTCCATTACTTTTTTCTTCATTCACTTGCCAACAGATGAACAAGTGTTAATTATTTTATCAAAATTCACATCGTCATAAACTACGTGTACTGTAAAATAATAATAAATGTACAGCTAGGCCAACTATATAGAGAGACAGTGAGTAGTGTAGTTGTTACATTTTTAATACCCTGTATATTTTGTCATAATTCTGGGTAAAGAATTTTATAATTGAATCTTTTTTTCCATATTAAAGAAAAATTACATTTTTAAAGAAGTAAAAAAAAGGAAACAGGAAAAAAAAAGCTATGTCCATTTTTTACATTTATTTAATTCATTTAAATTTTTAAACTGTTTTTTTTTTATAGATACAAAAAAAGTATGTATTTTGGATTACGAAGTGTAACTTAGCATCATAAATAGGAAATAAATACAATAAAGTCAAAGGGGTGGAGATAATGAAAAAAAAAAAAAAAAATGTGTTTGGATTTTTGTTCAGTTTTCTTGGAGGAGACCCATGAAATATAACATGTGGTCAGAGGTGTTCAATCCAGAAAAATTCAGTTAAAAGAACAATAAAATAAATTAAAAACCAAAATCAAAATTTGACCAGTTTTAAATTTTTACTAGACACAACAACTTGTGATCATAAATTGTTTGCACATTAGACATTAAGGAAAAAAAACATTTTTCATTTCAAGCAAATAATGGGCGTGTATGGACTCAATAAAAAAAAATCCAGAACAATTAAAATAATAAAACAAAAAGAAATAAAAGAGGAAAAAAGAAATAAACAAGGAAGCTTTTTAAGTAAACAATTTTGTCTTCTTCCGTCTTCTCTTTTTCTACTTTTTTTTAACCTACCTGATGTTGATGTCTCTTCAACAGTGACAAATTCGAGGGCCGATAGCAAAACAAAAAAAAATCTTGGTTAGATGAAGAAAAAAAAAGGGGGAGAGAAAGAACGCAAAAAAAGCCGGGTGTGGGCCCCAACCCAGGACGGTGTGGGAGCGTCAGCAGGGTAAATGTTTCAAACAGGACCCAAGGTAGGTCTCATCAGTAGGTTGTCGGTGGGTGAAGCAGTCAGGAAGGAGGGGACGGGAAGACCTTCAACACTTTCCCCACTGTGGTTGTCTGTAATCTTTCTCAATGGTGTACAGTGCACACATAAGGTCGGCAAGGACTTTTTAAGGTGGCTAGGTAAGGTAGGGAGAGAAAGATCTGTGATGTCGGATCCCCCGACGGTCGTGTTGGAGTTGGAAGGATGGAAAGTTGTAGCGCAAGGGAAGACCGAACTTGACGCAGGAAAAATGATCAGACACACGACAAAACGCAAACAACTTTGAATAATCAGAAGGAGACCTTCATTTTTACAAACATTACAAGATTATGCGTTCTTCATCATCATAGACATCATCAGATCGACGAGGAAGTGTCTGTCTGTGAGTAAGAAGGAAGAAAAAGAAAAAGAAAAACATATCGTCCAAAGAGGGCAGAAAAGGGCAGTGAAAAGGAAGAACGGAAAAGAGAAGCTAATAACTTAAGAGGGAGAGGTACACAGATACCGACTACTGAGGAAGTAGAAATATACAGTAAAAAAAGGAGAGGGCGTAACAACTGCAAAGAGATAGGCAGATAGTTAAAACAGAGGATGAACTAACAGAACGCATGAAAGGGGAGAAAGAAGAAAAATACAGTGTGAGAAAAAGAGATAGTATTTTTAGATAAAGTAAATGCAGAAAGAGGGAAGTAATAGAACACTTTGCTTGGGAAGTGAGAAAATAAAAAATAGAGAGATATGATAAGTGAGAGAGGAAAAACTAGTGTTTTGGTTTATGCACAGAAGAAGAAGAGAAAGGGAATGTGAGAGAGAAGAAAATATTTTAGTGTCAGTTGTGAGGAAAAGGAAGATAATGGCATCGTTAAAAAATATATAAAAGAATGTAGTAATCAATGAGTTGTAAGCAGTGGTACGTACAGCATCAGTTGAAAGAAGAGGCAGCAGCAACGAAGTGGACCAGCTGCCGTCATCAGCACGGGACAAGGGGAGGAAAAAAAAAGAAGAGTAGGTGATACAACGAAGAAACCAGAGAGATTTGTTTCCCTGTTGTATAGTCGGAGTAGTAACATAGCAATAGCCACCAACTGGTGGGAAAAGGGACGATAACTTTTGCCGCCGCCGCTGCTGCTTAGCACGTGGGGAATCGCGGACAGGGCGGTCGCACTAGCCTGACTTCATGAAAAAGCACTGGTATGTTCGTCTCTGCCGATATAGAATGGAGGACTGGTCGGATCTTCCAACACTAATACACATACCACAGAATAAAAGCTGACTTCAGAACAAGGAAGAGAAATTCTTTTCTTAGAAACCAGTTTTTGCTTGAAGCTGAAGTATCAACCAAGGAATGCTTTGATCACTGTATTTTTAATTTTATTTTATTTAAAATTATTTATTTCCATTTTAACTGTTTGCTTTGTCAAAAGAAAAATTAAGGATTCTAACCTGAATAATTCAATATAAGAATAATTAAAATACTTAATTTGAGAACAAGCATTGGTACACACTGATATTGATAAAAACAATAGAAATAGAGATACTCATGCAAATAATTTACGAAATATTAACAATTAATTACTTTGTCTCAGAACATCAAACAATACTTGAAAGCTAGAGAGCATATCAGTCAAACAAAACAAAGATCAAAACAAGAACAATGAGGATATTAATTCATAGAACAATGATAAGCTGGAATATATATTAGCTGAAATGTAATAATCAAAACAACTAAGATACGGATAATCGTCCAAATAATTCAGAGAGTTGTAACAATACTTAATTTCCAAAGTTCAAACTACCAGTATGGCTCAATGGTTACAGCTTACAGTTTTAAATTAATGTTAACAAGTTTCTTACAACAAAGTCAAAAAAAAAATTAGTTTTAAAGTAGAATATCAAAGTTGGTTATCATGATACTAATGGGACTAATTGTCTTTAGAAATGGTTCTAGTAACCAAGTTTGTTTTCCCCCTTCTCTCTCCCCACTTCTCATTCTTTTGCTCTCTTTTCAATGACAGGTGATTAGCCTATAACTCAATTGAATTTGTACAAGTTTTGGAGTTGGAGCCTTCTTGGATAGCATTTGCAGGAAAGAAATCAAATATCAAAGTAAGGCTTTTACTTGGATCTATATTAGTGATATATAACAGGGTACAGTGGTGGCTCATTAGGAATTAATTGCATTCAGCTGACCAATCTTACTACACAAGGTTTGCTGTCTATATTTATTGAAATTGAGGTATCCTTTGAACCCTGCCATAATATATAGGCAAAATAAAATGGAAATATAGTAGTCTAGACTGTCAGAAAATCAATCATGACTTATTAGTGAGGACTGTGATTAGTGAATGAGTTGAGGTTAACTTTCTCAAATTTTTCATGCAAGCTTACTATTATTCTATGGTAGGTGCCCAAACAAAATTTTGAAGTATTATAATAGCAATGGTTATTCATTAACATCCACAATAGCATAGTGGTAGGTATATCTACTTGCTATGCAGGAGACTTGGGTTAGATTTTCGAAAAGCTCAATGTTTTTATGCTTCTAAATTCCATGTGTGTACATTAAAAAGTTTATTGCTATAAAAAAGTTCAAGCTTTGACAAACATTGTCAGTGTTGTAAATTGATACTCATGGGATTTTTTGTGAGATAAATCTATGATGTTGGGAAAATATTGTTTGTATTCTATTCTCCAGGCATAAAGAGTTGATTATTCTACCTTGAACCATGCTAATTATAGTTAATCTAGTCTGAAACATAAACCTTATTTCTAGGACAATGTAACCTCAAATCATTATAAAAAGAAGTTTAAAACAGTTGCTGCCTAAAATGAAAGTAGCCATGTCTATTAAAATTGCCTGAAAAAAAAGACAAAGAAATGGGCTTTATATATATATATATATATATATATATATATAAATAAAAAGAAAGAACAGTAAGATATATAATCCGGTGTTCTTATAGATATTTTTATTTTTACAAAATAGTGCTCAATTCGCTTAAGGATGAAATGGAACTAATGTCTTTAATTTAATTACAAAATTAAATTTGGACCTTCCATTTTTGAAACATGGTTAGAACTGTGTAGCGGAAAAACTATATTTTAAATCAATTAATTTATAATATATATATATATATATATAAAGACATTTTTTTATGTTTATACGTTCTTTTTATAGATACAAATATTTAAGTAAATGCTCTGTTTATAATAAACAGTATTAACAACATTTACCGGCCTGAATATCCAAGAAATTCGCATAGAAAATATGCGTCCTTTGACAGGAATCAAACATGTATCCTATATGGAACCGTCATATAGCCTGACATGCTTTTGCCGATTGAGCACAGAGGAGCGTTTCAATTAACAAGGTCGATTTTACTGTTCTTAAACTACAATTCTCCATGATTTTTTTCTCATTTTTATGTTTATATAAATATAGAAAAAATGTCTTAAAATAATTGTCAGACTTTGTCCATTTCATAATGTGATGTCATTTGTTTACATTTGGATATGTATCGAGCAGATATGAAAGTATTATGGAGAATTGTAGTTTAAAAACAGTAAAATCAACCTTGCTAACCGAAACGCTCCTCTGTGGCTCAATCGGTAAAAGCACGTCACGCTATATGATGGTTCTGTATAGAATACAGGTTTGATTCTTGTCAGAGGACGTATATTTTCTATGAGAATTTCTCAGACATTCAAACCAGTAAATGTTAATACTGTTTATTATAAACAGAGCATTTACTTAAATATTTGTATCTATAAAAAGAATGTATAAACATAAAAAATGTCTTAAAATAATTGTTAGACTTTGTCCATTTTATATATATATATATATATATATATATATATATATATATGAATAAAGACAAAAGAAAAATTTAGCTGATGTATTTAGTCTTCTGATGGCCTTTAGTAAATGTATGGATTTTATTTTGCAACAAGTATTTATAAACAAATAAAAATGTCATTAGTTTTTCAGAATTTTTAAATTTGAGAACACTCATAAATGTACTTGTTGCAAAATAAAATCCTTACATTTGCCTTGATAAAGTCTATCAGAGGATGAAATGTGTCGGCTAAGATAAATTTTCCTTTTGTTTTTATTCATATTGTCTTTTTAAAGATATATTTTTTGTTATATCTGAATTTTTACATAGACACACACACACACATATTTGTATAAATGGACAGCTACTTTCATTTTCCAAGCATATCCATCTGCTAATCCTCCAGCTAACTAATCCCTGTCATAGACACCTGCTCAGGCACATTTGTGTTTGTTTATCACCCACAGAGCTCACCTGTGCTACATAGTGCAACTATGCTGAGCAAACCCTAGTTACAGCTTCACATCATCTCTCATGATCAGCAGTTTGAATAATCAGTCATGTTACTCAGTTTCATTCACAAGGTTTGGCTCAAACCATGGTGTGGTTTTCAAGCACTTTACAAAAGTGTCGCATGTTGGGATTGCCTCACCAGACTGATAGCATCAAGAAGTCACCTTCCTGATAAATTGATCATTGTGAGATTTGAACTTGGGTCTCTTGATTGGAAAGTGAATTTAGGCCGGTTGTTATTAATTTCATTGTTTAATAAAATAAAAAAAATAGGGTTAACAACTTAAACATGTGTACCCACTAAGAATAACATTTATAGTAATAAAAAATAATTTTGGATAAAAAGTAATACTTTCAAAAATGTTTATGTTGAAACTAGTAGATATAGATTTGTAGAAGTTCCACTGAGAAAATATACTTTCCTTAAATAGTTTATTCCAACCTTGCTCTGTCAGGCTGATCTTCATGGCACACTTTAACTCAAAAATTGGTTTCCCTGGTGGAAAAAAAGGAATCCTGTTAGAGACAATTTTTCTCTAGTGGGACTCCTCAATCTAGACCAGATGTTATTAATTTCACTGTTTAATAAAATAAAAAATGGATAGCAACTCAAATACATGTACTCACTAAAAATAATGTTTATAGTAATAAGAAATATATATATATATGATTCTTCAACCATTTGTTGATCATGCCCCATCTAATCATCTCTAAAATCCTGATTCCCACACCTATTCATGTGGAGGAAACCTAAAAGGCCATTCATCAACTTGGCCTAAAGAAGCTTCAAAAGAACATGGCATCCATGAAAGAGAGCAAGGACAGTTGAAATTCTGAGGAAGAAATTACTAAGAAATTGTTAAAAAATATATATATATATATATATATATATATATATATATATATATATATATATATATATATTAAAATAAAGAGAAAGAACAGTAAAATTTATAATCTGGTGTTCTTATTAATTATTTTTATTTTTAGAAAACAGTGCTCAATATAATTCTGCAGAGCATAAACATTATAAATTTAATTTAAAAATATGGTCCCATCGCTACACAGG